GAAAGGCTCTGCAAAGGGGCTGAGTAGAATTCAGGAAACAGGTAAAAACATACAGACTTAGACAGCTGTCTGTCTTCATATGTGTGCTGCCAGATGTTCAATGAGGAGGTGACTCTGTGACATTGGGAAAAAAAGTCTGGAGTCTGTGAAATAATATATCGAAATCTTGTAATAGAGAACATTTTCGTATGTGGAAATTAAAACTTAGAATCTCCCAGGTGGAGGTTCTGCTCAGAAACTGAGGATAACCACACATACCTAGGGGCCTTCATCAGATCCTAAGCTGGTAGTGCTAAATGTGCTGTCATATGGCAATCCAGCTCCATGGTAACAGTTTTGGATCTGTACATCCCAAATAAGAAATGGGCATTCCCCAAAACTGGTGTGGTAGAAAATTGTGGTCTGTGCCAGCAGCCTGCCTATACACTGTCACCCATCACAGAAACATTTGTCAATGCCCAATATCTTGTCTACAAAAAGTTGGTTAGCTAAAACCTGACAGGAGATGACAAGTGCAATAGCAGCCCCAAAGTGGGGGTAAAAGTCTTTTGGAGTAAGTTTAAAGAAACAGAAATTCTCATCAGAAATATAAAACATAAGCAAGCTCGTTCAAAAATGATGTGTGCCGTGGACAAAGACACCAAGGGGAACAATCTGAGAGCAGATTTTACAGATAATTCTGGATGAAATGAGGCCTTGAGCCATGAACAAAGAAATACATTGCCTCGTTTTGATGAGTACAGAATGTTAATTTAGGCTCCTTTTAATCAATAAGATTGAATTAACTGAATATATCATTTAAGTCTTTGACTGAAATCAGTCCACATGCCTTACAGAAGGGACAGTAGTGCTGTGGGTAAGGCAGATAACCCACTTCAGTGCCATCAGTACAGAAAAGAAACCTCCTCCAGAGGGTGAAAAAAGCTTTCATGCAATAAACCTGTCAGGTATGCAAACTCTATAATCACTCGGTTCAATGATACCACTGTGGAAAAATGGCAACTAGAGATAAGCTAAGAAAGAGCAACGTATCATACACGTGCAATGAAAATTAATGAGCCTTTCAAAAATATAATATTGAATACAAAGCTTTTAGCATAAAGATGCCACTTACAGATCTTGTGTTAAGGTTTGGACAACAGAACAAGTCTTAGCTTATTGAAAAGAGAACAGGATTTGTGAAATGCATAGAAAGCATCACCATGGACAATCAGATGCAAGACTTGCTGCAGCCCAACCTGGTTGGTTTCAAACATACTTACTTCTAGAACCCTGGGGGCACTACAAATCCGGACCACCCCTGCCCACTCCCAAGGGCTCCCCCTGCCTCCCCACAGCCCAGTGCCCTTGGCTGGGGTGACGGGATGGGCCCTGAATGCCAGGCTCTGCTACCACACACCCAGGGTGCCTCCAACTCTCACAGCCCTGGGACCCTCCAAACTTCATGTGGCCCTGATCGTTTTTGTAGATGAAAATTGGGGGTTAAGTTACTTTTAAAAAGGGGCATCTAGAATTTGACCAAGTGTGCTCAAAGTACTGAATGAGTTAATGGTTTGTTGGGATACAATCACATCTACAAACTTCGTAATAGATGCAATAAATCTTTTAAAAAGGCCCTACAAATCTGGTCTGTGGAAATTCCCTGTGAAGAAACAGAGCTCAGGTGAAACATATGATTTATAGATAACTGGGCTTTAGTCAGTAAGTTGGTTTTGCCTCTGGAGCAGAAATGGAAATCTGCATGCAATGGGATACAGTTGCTGATAGAGACAGGAGTAATTTAAATCTGTTTTAAAAGTCCAGGTGCTAAGAGTATTTTGAGATCTAAGGAAGGAAGAGATGTCTGTTTTTGTCAGACACTTTGGTCAGATACAGACTTCAGCAACTACTGGGGAAGGGTAAAAAGGTCAGAAAGACTGGGTCAAGATGAGTCCTGGCCCATGTAATGAAGCAAATGTAACTGAGGGATAATAAAATAGCCTAAGAGACCATCTGAGAGAAAAGCCAACCTAGCAAATGCCAAAGCTGTGCTGCATGGAGCAAGAGAGAGGTGGGAGGAAGGAAAGGGACCCAAGGACCAGACACCTCACCACCGACCACCTGCACAAGGGAGTAAGATCTTCACAGCCTGTGAGAGATGTCTCATCAGAGAAGTGGAACTGAACTTTTGGTCCATTCCTGGTCCTCACCCAAGCTGAAAGCTGAGCCGGTATGCACGTGAGCAGCTTCAAAAGGAAGTAATTTACCTTAGGCACACAATCAGTGAAGGAATTTCTACCGATTAAAAGAAAATCGGAGCTGTGCAGAACTGGCCAAGTCTCCAGATGTTCACGGAGCTTGTACATTGTGTCTGTGGGGTTTTCCAAATTCCAAAACAATTGCATAAAATGAGTAAGAGACTAGTTTGGGGTCATTTTCAGAGCGGGAAAAGGAAATGCCATGTTTCAAACCCCCTTTCCTATGAAACACAGATGCTAGTGCTTACAAACTGTGAGCAGAACTGACACGAAAAGACATAGAAGGAGAAAAGGAAGGAGCTTGTTGGAGTGACTGTTCCCCTCTGCTCCCAAAACCCCTTTTCTGCAATCCTTCCTGCAACTTTTCAGTCATTATAAATCTTTAAAAAGTCCTAGGAGTTTAACTCTTTTGCAATGCTTTCCCACCACAAGAGAATGCTCATTCTTTCTGCAATGTATTTTTAGGCTGCATAAAACTGGTCCTATTCTATTGGTAATGTTTTCTTGTAATTTACTGAAAATTTCATTTAAAAAAACACAGGCAGCTGTTATTGGATGACTGGTTCAAAGTTTTCACGAATTCCTACGCCACAGACCGGAGTACAATGCAGTAGCCAGACTTGTGCGCTACATTCCAGTAACATGGTGTCAAACAAAGTATTCAATCAGAAAGTCAAAATAATTCAACAAATACCTCCAATCTGACTCAGTCCTCGCCAAACTAGGGCTTGTATGAGAGGGGAAGCTTTCTGGCACAGTCATTGTGGAAAAAAAAAACCTGTTTCCCTAGAGTAACTTTGGAAGTGCAGTAGTCTGGAATAGAATTACAGAGCTCCTACATTGGAATCTACACCTTAGAATCTACAGGAAAATAATGATTTAGGCTAACTTCTGTGTGAGCTGATACCACGTAGAGAGGTGAATTCAGGTGAATTCAGGTGAAATCCTTTGCAAATCTTGAGTTTCAGAGCAATGGTAGGAAGGTAAAACCTCTTTACCTAGGAGTAGAGATTAGGGGGGTGACAAGAGAAGTGATCCCCCAGCAGCCCCCAGGATGCAGCAGAATGTCTCTCAGCTGGGCTTGGCAAGCTGCAACAGGGATGCTGCCCAAGGGACTCTGTGCTGTGCTACCAGCAAGCTGGGAAGTATTTCTGCTTTTTCTGCCAGAAGCCACTGTCACTGGCCATGGATGAAGGTAAGCTAGTGTGAGCTGCTGGCCTCTAGGAGCTGGCCATGTCCAAGGCAGTCGCTTTCTGCCCAAAACTTGTTTCCCACCTTGTTTCTGTGTGATGGGACAGGCAGCCACAGCCCCCACATAGGCTCTAACAGGTACTTGTCTGGCAGAAAGTCCCTTTTGTGTTGGTTTGTCCCAGTGCTAACCTTGACAGCACATCAGTTTTCATGGATGTCACTCTGTGAATCTCCAAGACCAGCACAATCCCATTTTGGACATGACCTATCTCAAAGCCAAACATCTTTTACCTGCTCTCTTCCTTATTCAGATAACTTTTTTGACACAAAGGTGAAACTAGAAAGTTTTTCCTTGAGTGTATGTATTCTTAAACTTGCTTTTAGTGGTGCTCTATGTGTTGGCTGTCACACCTGAAAAAATGAGAGTTGCAGACTCGTGATTATTTCTACTATCAAGGGCTGGTCTCCCACAACTCTACTCACATGTTCAAACTCCCAAGCCGGTATCAGGGTTCTGCCTGTGACAGAAAAGCAGGATACTGAATTTGCTTTCGTTACGGCTGCGACTTATTCTTTGGTACATTTCTTTCTGCAATGTGAAGGAATTAGGCCATTATCGGCAAGATTTGGTTTTCCTTTGCTGCGTTTCTCGGGCTATTAGTTACTGCAGGGTCAAAATTATGAATAAGATATGTCTCCAAAACCCGAATACTTTAAATCTGCTTTGCAGAAATGTAAAAGACTGGGAAAATATATAAAGGAGGGCTACTTTCATTTACAGCGATGTCTCAGTGAGTGGTTGCTGCAAGATGTGTTTAGCAAAGGAACACGGATAAGGCTGAGGAGAGCTCGCACAGAAGTTTGCTACACGTTTACCTAAGGGCTGCCTGTCCGCAGCAGAACCCTGCAGGTACGGATTCTTTAACCACCTCGGGCAGCACCTCTCGCCGGATGGCGGAGCTTCGCACGGCGGTGCGCTGCCGGGCACGGGAGTGGAGCCGCCCCCAGGCCGGGGCGAGCCTCCGCTCCCCTTCCAGCGCCCGCGCTCCTTCCACTCCGCATTCCAGCGTGGGTTTCCGCGCCCCGAGCAGCCGGACACGCGTCCCCAAGTTCGGCGTGCCGGGGGCAGCAGCAGGACGGGACGGGACGGGACGGGAGTGGAGCCGGGGGGCGCTGCCCGCGCTCCGGCCAGGGCGGGGCGGGGCGGGGGCGCGTCTGAGCGCGGCGCAGGGAGCGGCGCGGTCCCGGCTCCGCCTCTGCTCCTGCCCCGCCTGGACGGGACGGGGCGGCCCCGGGCAGGAGCGTGCGGCGGCGGCGGCGGGAGCTTTCCTTGTCCTCCTCCTGCTCCGCGTCAGCCCCGCTGCCGGCTCCCCGCGGCGGCTATGCGCTGCCGGGACCGCCCGGCCCAGCGGCGCTGAGGGGGCGGGCGGACAAAGGCTGCGGTGCCGGCGCTGGGGCGCGATGGAGCGGCGCGGCGGCTGAAGCGGCTCGGTGGGGCGAGCCGAGCTGAGCCGGGCCGGGCCGGACCGGACGAGAGCGGCACATGGTGCGCGGCTGGTGCCCGGCGCTGCGCACCCGCGGGCGGGCCGAGGGGCCACCATGGACAACTTCTTGGCGGAGGTGAGCGCGGGCCGGTGGGATCATCCTCCTTCTCCAGCGTGGGGTGGCTTTTGTTGGGCAGGATACCGGCAGCAAGGCGGCGGGAGGTTCACGGAAAGTGTTCCTTCCCTCGAATAGTTCGGTTTGCCCGGTGTTCACAGGAGCAGCGCCCGCGGAGCGGAAGGCAGGCAGGCAGGGAGGGAGGGAGGGAGCTGCGCCCCCCAAATTCCCGGCCTCTGTGGCTGTGGCCAGGGCGGAACTGGGAGCCGCCGAGCTGGAGCGGTGCTGCCGCGGGCTGCCCGCAGCCGGGCGGGCGCTCGGCGCTGACTGGGGCTCATTAGAGCGGCGGGGATGGAGGCTCCGGTACCGCGGCTCTGCCCCCCAGCCCCGCGGGACACGGGCAGCGGGGACCTCCGTGCGGACCCTGCCCCGCTTCCTGCTGCCGGCGGCGGGGCAGCCTCTGAAACCCTGCCTGGCTGAGAGTGAGTGGGGAGTCCCTCCTCGGGGGTTCCCTGCGCGAAAGCCGGGGAGAGCGCTTTGTCCTCCTTGCACGGGCACCAGAGGCTTCAAACGAGGGAGGTTTCAGAGGCAGGGCTGCCGTTGGGCACCTTTTTTAAAGGTTTGTTTATTGAGTGTATGTTATTAAGTACAGAAGAAATCTACAAAATGCAAAGGAGGGAGACTGAAGTCCTCAAAGTCGTTTGAGCTTTACCGTGGTCTTGTGGATCTTGACAACTTCAGTGTGTGGGGTGAGGAAACCAAATCACCAAATCAAATTGCTACGGACTCAGGGTATTTGACAGAACTTGGGTCCTCTTCTGGTCCAAGCTAGCTGAATTTCGTGCAACAGTATTTTACTGGATCCGTTTATCCCGCCTGGTGTCGACACAGCCTTATGAACATAAAGTGTGCAGGATCAATGTGTACTCTGTGTGCATGTTGTGCCTGCAGTTTGCTGGCAAAGCCCGTGACTGGGTTGTGACTTCTGGTGCCTGCCTGCACACTTGCTTTAATTGCACCTCTTGCCGAAGCAGTTGCTGTCAGGGTTGTAAATACAAGCCAGACATATGTTTTACAGGGCTATGATTAATCTGCAAAACTGTCCTTTGCCCTCATGAAACAACGTCCCTCGTGTTCTTGGTGCTGCTGTTGATGCTTCCACAAGAAAAATAAGTGATCTGTTTACTGAAATAGTAATTAGTCAAATAAAAGAAGGTCATACACTTTATTGCTTGTTGGCTTTTCATTTGTCAGACAACAAAAGTTCTGTCAAGTGCAATAAGAAGGAAGAAATGCAGGATTACCTTTGATGAAGTCTGAGTTAAGTAGTCATACTGCTTTTTTTTCTCCCTTTAGAGGATGTAGCCCTCACCTTTCAAAAGCTTGTAAGCCATGAGCAATATGGTAGTATTAACCTAGCCTTGCAAAATCAGTCTGAAGAGTCATTCGCCCCAACACAAAGTACTGCAGTGTGCCCTACATAAAGGTGAAGAAGAGTGTTCTTGGTTTTGACTCCCCTATTAGGCAAAATTACTTGCTCTAGGGAAAATACAAGTAAATTTTGCCAGTCTGTGTTAGCATTTCAGCATATATTTATGTTAATCTGTGGTTGCTTCATGTGGACTTTGATCTTTCTTAAGAACTTTGACTCCCTTTCAACATGTTGATATTACTTTAAAAGATCAGTAAATATAGCACCTTGACTTTAATCTGCATCCAAAGTCCCACCCACAAGTATAAACATTTTCCTTCCCTCACTCTGTAGCAGAGCATATGTAAATGGAAAATAGGGAGCATGAGGCACAATAGCAGAAATACACTGAGTTTGACCCAGCTACCACAGAAGAATGTGTGTTGAAGGCACTGGATTGAGCCACTAGGTAATTTAATTTGTGCGAGGCAGACATCCTGCAGCTGCTCTTTGCAAAAATATTTGCTGACTTATCTAAGGGAATTACTGTTCTCTTTAAAATAAGTTATAGTGTGAGGAAGAAGGAGGGAGCTGGATGAAAGGCACAGGTGAAAAGCCCAATCTGCTCTGCTCTTCTTTGTCAGTGATGTAAGCATGCTGATACGATTATATTTTGGGAGAAAAGCTGATAGTGGGAAGGGTAAATACTGGCACTTCAGAGGGGTCATTTGTCAGCATCATCAAGAAGCTCCTGTTTGCCACACTGGAGGCAGAAGTGTCTTCAGTCTGGCTGTTGCAGAAAATACTATATACTCAAAGGTGTTAATAGGAAAAGAAGCAAAACCCTGTATTGTTATTTCTCCTATATTTTTCCTCAGCTAAATGCTAAATATAACATACTTCAGTACAGGGTGATGCTTACTGGAAAAAAATGAGGCAACTGAGTGAGACACCTCCAGAGAGCAGGAGGTGCATCACACAGGAGGTACTCCTGTTGGGACTTGCTCCCTTAAGTGAGGTGTGGGATAATGCCAGGCTCCTGCCAATCATCTGACACTGCTGTCATTTGTGACTTAGCAGCTCTTTGACTTCTCCATCTTGCTGCCCAGTTTCCTTTCTTTGCTTTCTTAGTATTCTTAGCTTTTAGCTTTTATTGTTAAAGGACAACAAGTGGTTGTACTTATCTCCTGAGAAGCCTTGATTTCCATCCCTGTCCCAATTTTCTAGCTCAACCAATTTAAAAAAACCCCATGGCTCTAAGTAAAAATTGGGCTAGAAAAGTTTGTCCTGTAACTTACACCCCAAAATGCTTTAATTGCTGCAAGGTATTAATGTAATAACAAAGTTGCATTCTAAATGCAGAGAAAAAGTGTTTTCTGAGGCTTTTTAAAAGGCTGTTGATTGGTCTATGCTACCTTACAGTCTTTTGAAGGAAAGCTGGAGGTAGAATTGTAAGGTGTTTTTTTTTGTTTTTGTAGTCATATTTGCTTATCTGAAGTATTAAAACCTGTAGAAATCCTGTATGTGTATGTGCAACAAAGCCATTCAGCTCCTTTACTTAAAACAGCCTGAAAAAATTGTTCCCATATGTTTTACCAATAGCAAGAGTGCTCTCAAGGGAACAGGCTCCTGTGGTAACTGAGGTCAGACTTTTTTCCAGTGAGAATGCATCCCTGCTAAAAGGAGATGTATGCCATGAGGGAAGGAAGAAAGTAATTTCCAGAAGAGGCAGAAGACAAGGACAGGGGAGCTCAAACTGCCCCTTCAGCATCTCAAGTTCCCAAGCAGGGCTTATCAGGGCAGCAGGGGAAGAGGATGCAGAAGTCAGGTTTATCTTCTTCCTCTTACATGGTAGTCACTTTGTCCAATATGTACGGGATGTTGCACTGAGCCATGGTTGCTGTCCTTGTCACAGAAGAAGTGTGATGTTTGCTGATTCAGTGGGGGTCAGAAAGGGCTTGAGGCTGGGAGAAACTTCTGTAGGTCATCTTGTCCAAACCTGCCCTCCAAGGTGGTGCTCAGCTCCTGGGGAACTAACTAGTGGCATGGTGTGCATAGTGGTGGCTGCAGGGATTGTTTGCGTTTAGTTGTTGCCAACCTTCAAGGATTCCTTCCACCCTTGCAACTTGGAAATTGAGGAAAAGAGAGGAGAACAAATTTGTGTCCTGCCTTCTGTGTAGCATGTCTGGGTAGATGATGTTGAAAGCAGATCACCATAAAAGCATCACCATCATAGAGGCCCTGCTGATGTTTCTCCAACACTGCACAGGAATTTATTTGGAACTGTGGGGTACCCTCCCCATGTCCTTTGAGGCACAGCAGATACTCTGTGTCTACCATGCTTTTATTTGTAGCATTACTACTGGTACCTCCAGTTCGGAATGGTTTCCTTCATTTCTGCTCTCTGCAGTTGCACATACTTGCCTGTGTACCCTGTTTTAAGGAGCGGGCTCCCAGCATATATTCTGAGGCTGAAAGTGTTGAACCTCCCTCTGTGGGAAGTATATGGGACAAAAATTTAGCTTCAGGAAGCTGTCAGAGGAGGTATCTGCTTGAACCTGGAAGCTCTTAATTCAGTTACACAGCTTGCAGCAAGCTTTTCCTTGATGCTCTCTTGTTGCAACATTTGGCAGATCACGGCCTCACAGCACTGAGTCCTTTGAGAGATTCATCATCTGCACCTTGGCACCACCAAGGTTATTGACCTAAAGAGAAAACCTGGTGATGCAAATAATATACATCGATATACATGGATTCTGGCTGTGCTGTGCAGCACAGTGTATGCGTTTGGGATGACCTTTGAAGTCTTCCCAGTTTTCATTTACAAGTGTTTTGATGATAACACAAGCATGGGTCTGATGTTCCAGCTTTTGGTATTGACTTTGCCATCTAAAGGACAGCAAAGTTGCCCTTTAGACTGGTGGGGCAAAACCATCATCCTGTGAGTGATGGCATAAAGTTGTTTCTGGAGACCATCTGAGTGCCAAAGCCATGCCAAGCAGAAACAGTGGCTCTTTTGGCTGTTGACTTCGGCTGTGTTCTCTGAATTTTCTGAGCTGTGACATCTCATATTTAGGTTTTTTTGAAAGCTGATGGTTGTTTTGTCTACAGTTATTTTTTGGTTAATTAGAGAGCACTGAGTTTTGAATAGAAGATGTTTCAAGGGGTGCTTAGCACTACCTTATCAAGTCAGAAAGATGAAGTTTTTTTCAGGTTTGTTTCTCCAAGTTGGAAATCACATTCAGCTCATCAGTATCACATAATGGTTACTGCCCACCACTGATACTTCACATGTGCCTTTCATAAGAAAAATTTGTGCAACTGAAACATTGTCGTCGCTGGGCTGGAGCCTAGCAACCGTGCTGGCACTGCACATACTGTAAAATGACACAAGAATTCTCTTAAAGCTGCAAAATACGTAAGTTTTGAAGTTGGCAATAGAGGCTCTACATTCTGCAGGGTCTGCTTGTGGTTTTTTTTGCTATGTTCAGTCAGTCTCCAACCAAAGAAAAGCTGTGAAACCCACTATTACAGAAGACTTGGCTGCTTCTGAGTCTGGGTTTTTTTTTTAACGTTCTGGTGACACCTCACTGAAATGTTCACTTTTTTT